GCGTCACCAGTGTGAAATTGGCACCATATTCAACTACACGTTCACCACCACGTTCAAAAACACATTCAAAAAATGGCAACGGCTAATTTCAATCACTCAAAACGACAAAACTATCAAAGCGCTATTTTCTCTCACAATAAACATCCTAATGCAGCAAAAACACGATAGAAACACGTAGAACAAATTTATCTTTAATTTGAGCTATCAAACTTATAGCTCCAAGCAGTATAAGGGCAACAATTTCATTTTTTCATCAAAACATAAAACTGCATTTCTTAAATTAATTGAAAAAGTCGGGAATACAAAACTAATCGTACCTTAGCCTCTATTCTGTCCGATTTTTTCAAACTTCCATGTATTGTACAACTTTATATGTACTTTTCTACGATATTTCCTTCATATTATGCACTTCAGTTTAAAGTATAGAAAAACGCACACAAACTCGTGCAACTTTAGTCGCGGAAATATAAATTAGATTACAACGTTATTCTTCTCATAACTCAGTCTCTATTCTGTCCGATTTTTTCAAACTTTCAGATATTGTACAATCTTATATGTACTTTCGCACGCTACTTCACACAAATTCTGCACTTGAGTTGAAAGTACAGAAAAACGCACTCAGACTCATGCAACCTTAGTCGCGGAAACATGCGCAGCATAAATTGTATTAGAACGTTATCCGTGTTGCCGTGATAAACCATCTCATAACTCAGCCTCTATTCTGTCCGATTTTTTCAAATTTTCATATATTGTACAATTTTTTATGTACTTTCCTATGATACTTCACACAAATTATGCACTTGAGCTTAAAGTACAGAAAAACGCACTCAAACTCATGCAACTTTAGACGCGGAAATATAAATTTATTACTATAATTAGATTATATATTGCGTTATCCGTGTTGCCGTGATAAACCTTCTCATAACTCAGCCTCAATTCTGTCCGATTTTTTCAAACTTCCACATATAGTACAATTTTATACGTACTTTCCTATGCTGCTTCATTCAAATTATGCACTTGAGTTTAAAGTACAAAAAAACGCACTCAAACTCATGCAACTTTAGTCGCGGAAATATAAATTAGATTAGAACGTTATCCGTGTTGCCGTGATAAACCTTCTCATAACTCAGCCTCTATTCTGTCCGATTTTTTCATACTTCCACATATAGTACAATTTTATACGTACGTTCCTATGCTACTTCATTCAAATTATGCACTTGAGTTTAAAGTACAGAAAACGCACTCAAACTCATGCAACTTTAGTCGCGGAAATATAAATTAGATTAGAACGCGGTTATCCGTGTTGCCGTGATAAACCTTCTGATAACTCAGCCTCTATTCTGTCCGATTTTTTCAAACTTCCACATATAGTACAATTTTATACGTACTTTCCTATGCTACTTCATTCAAATTATGCACTTGAGTTGAAAGTACAGAAAAACGCACTCAAACTCATGGAACTTTAGTCGCGGAAATATAAATTAGATTAGACCGTTATCCGTGTTGCCGTGATAAACCTTCTCATAACTCAGCCTCTATTCTGTCCGATTTTTTCATACTTCCACATATAGTACAATTTTATACGTACGTTCCTATGCTACTTCATTCAAATTATGCACTTGAGTTTAAAGTACAGAAAAACGCACTCAAACTCATGCAACTTTAGACGCGGAAATATAAATTTTACTACTATAATTAGATTATATAGTGCGTTATCAGGGTTGCCGTTTTAAAACTTCTCATAACTCAGCCCCTATTCTGTCCGATTTTTTCAAACTTCAATATATTGTACAGCTTTATTTATACTTTGCTATGATACTTCACACAAATTATGCACTTGAGCTTAACGTACAGAAAAACGCACTCAAACTCATGCAACTTTAGTCGCGGAAATATAAATTTTATTACTATAATTAGATTATATAGTGCGTTGTCAGGGTTGCCGTTTTAAAACTTCTCATAACTCAGCCCCTATTCTGTCCGATTTTTTCAAACTTCCATATCTTGTACAAATTTCTATGTACTTTCCCATGGTATTTCACTCAAATTATGCACTTGAGTTGAAAGTACTGAAAAACGTACTCAAACTCATGCAACTTTAGTCGCGGAAATATAAATTAGATTAGAACGTTATCCGTGTTGCCGTCATAAACCTTCTGATAACTCAGCCTCTATTCTGTCCGATTTTTACAAACTTCCACATATAGTACAATTTTATACGTACTTTCCTCTACTACTTCATTCAAATTATGCACCTGAGTTTAAAGTACAGAAAAACGCCCTCAAACTCATGCAACTTTAGTCGCGGAAATATAAATTAGATTACAACGTTATCCGTGTTGCCGTGATAAACCTTCTGATAACTCAGCCTCTATTCTGTCCGATTTTTTCAAACTTCCACATATAGTACAATTTTATACGTACTTTCCTATGCTACTTCATTCAAATTATGCACTTGAGTTGAAAGTACAGAAAAACGCACTCAAACTCATGGAACTTTAGTCGCGGAAATATAAATTAGATTAGAACGTTATAGGCCGTGGGATGAGCATCCAAAAGATGCAATTCCGTTGCACCCCTCGTGGAACTACGTAATTTTCACATGAATAAATAGATAAAAACTTACTTTATCAGAATCCGTTGCTCCCCAAGTGAAACAGGTGCACAATTGGGAGAAAAATCCCTCCAAAGTTTGATATTTTTGCGCTTCGAAATATTCGAACCGCCATTATTTTGGTAGTAAATACGCATGCGCAACTCAGTCAAACTCGCACTGCGCACGCGCAGACTATAAAAATAGATTCTCACTGGGGGGTTTCCCCGATTTCCTCCGCAAAAACAACAAAATAAAATCACAGAATACTGATCAAACCTTGTAATATAAATACACCCACATTAAATATTGTTAAAAACACATTGTATATTTTGCTTGCTCATATGCTAAATCACTTCAATTCATTGGCTATTGTTTCAAAATACCGTTTTAACGTTTAATTCTACTTTATATTAACATCCTAATTCAATACAAATTTGTGTGAGGTAAAAAACCCACCTGTATCAAACAGGACGGAGAATAAAAAATATATATGCATACAATTCACACGATCAAGGAACAATTAAAATGAAATATTTGTGAAACACTCTTTATCCGTTTGCCGACGCTGATAAGACAATATGACATACCGAAAGATTGGAAAGACAAATAATATGATAACAGTGTTTCCAAGTTCATCCCGGGCTTTAAGGGATATTTATATAAACTCAAAATTCATAAAAAAAAAATTAGGAGGAAATATAAAATCCATAATTTCATTATAGCTATCTATAATTGAAAGAAATGTTTTCATCTTTGAACCCATATTTTCATCAGAGCAATAAAATTCCGCTTATTGGATCCTGGCCAAGGGCTTGCACGCTCAAAACGAGATTGCATGTATTCTGCAATAAGCTGTCCTGGCTTTTGTCTGGTAAAGTTCTACTTCTCGTATTTGAACTATTTCATGTATTATATTTATATTGTGACATAAGTTGGTATTTAGCCACTATCTAGAATAACAAGGAACGATTCAGGCTGGTTTTTCGCGTCCACACTAGTTGACTTTTTCTTATAGATTTGCTGCTGTGAGTTTCAGCTCCTCCACCAGGGTGCGTTTTAGCTTCTCAGACATGACTATACTGTTAACCCTGTCCATGAGAGGGATATATGTGTTGATAATATAAATACTGTGGATCCGAATGAGAATATCGAATAAGTAAATAAATACTTATCTACTCCACTGATAATACCTACATGCATTACCATCATTGTTCACCTCAAATCATTAATAATTCATGAGCAAATTAGCCAACCATATTGCTTTATTTTGCTCACATGATAATACTGGATACTTTATGAAGTATATTGATCCTGTAGTGTCCTAGGACTGGATAAAAATTAATTAAGTAGTGATTTATTCGTACATGGGATGTCATTTCAAATCCTCCAATTCGGACTGGACTAGATTTCAAGTCCTCACATTTTGATCCAGTCCTCTGCTTCGCCTCGGACGTGATCAAATTGCGTGGACTTGAAATCTAGTCCAGTCCTCATAGTCGGATTTGAAATATTATCCATTGTCAAATCAGATGCCAATGGTGGCCAAAGAAGATTCAGTTTTAGTATTTCTTGCACCTTTTGGTGAAGAATGAATACAGCATTGTATAGAATTTGTAACTCATTGACTTTAGAATTTCCCTCAGTTTCTGTGTTGGAATTCACATCATCATCATCATCAATGGTACAGCTCTCTTCATCAAAGTCCTCATCATTGTTTTCAGACTTAGGGCCTGTTTATATGAAAGCCGGGCTGGCCTGATAAGCGAGACAGCCTGGTAAGCAAGATCTCGCTGTGTAGTTATTTTATAGTAAAAATTATCATGCGTTTATATGGACAAGCAGGCTGGCCCGGGTTGCCAAGATCTCGTTTGAAAAAGGCTAGATCTCGCTTACCGGGATGGAAATTTCTCCATATAAACATTTACAAGCGGGCTATCCTGGTTGCCAGGATGAAAGTTCAAAGATACCGCCGCAAGCTATTTTTAACAACTGTCAAAACAATACAATGTAACAAAATTGTCCTGGCAAGTGGGATGAAAGTTTCTCATATAAACACAAGAGAAATTCATCCCGCTTACCGGGCTGTCTTGCTAAGCGTGCCATTCCGGCTTCCATATAAACAGGCCATTAATTGACATATGTTCCTCAACTAATTCAGAAGAATCCAAATTTTCCACATATACAATCTCACTAACATTTCTCATTTTCGGTACACAGAACACAAGTTGGGGATAACTTTTCATCAGTCGTTGCTTGAGTTTAAAAGCTCTATATTTAGATGCATCCACATTCTCAGTGTCCTTAGCAATAATAACAAATTTCTCCAGCAAATCTTTCATATACTTTATTTGCTTATTTCTGATGACCTCCATCTCAATTACTTTCTTACAGAAATATACATCATAAGACTTCTCGTACACTGATGCTCTTGTTGCTTCTTCGTCTCTCTGGTGAGAAATATTGTATAATTGCAGTAGCAAACTTTGTGATAGCGGATTTCCAGAGCTACACAGTTTTTCCCCTGGATTTGCATGAGTATCTGTTGATCATTCTTTCTCTCGGCAGCTGTACGTAGAAGACCAGCATCAATTGTTTTTGCCAACATGAGTGGGGTTCTTCTTCTCTTCAGACTCTTCTTAGTTACCTGGTGTGAAACAAACCATACCTTGTCCAGTGAGAACCACGAGGCGTCTCTTCCACAAATATAACATATCTCTGGGAGTACATGCGCGTTTCTTTTAGGCAAGGCCTTTATATTTATAGCTTCTGCGACTGATTGACGTGTAATTTTTCGCCTTGGTTCTATTGCCTCCACTTCCACGTGTGATTCTTCGGTAGAAGTTATAGTTTTAGAGCTAGTTCCTTCTCTTTTTTCTTCTTTTCTCTGTTATCTACGGATCTTCGGTTCATCGCAAAATCTCTTCTAGCATTTCATATGATGGTTCCATTCTAAGTTAATGGTGTCAGAGTTCTTCTCGATGCATGAATTGACAGATCCGTCATCGATGTTCTCGTACGATTTCTTAGCTATTTCAGCTTGTTGACACTTAAGTTTGGCCCATTTTGACCTACACTCAAGAAATTTCTTAAGCCTTTGGCGTGTAACTTTGCGAAGTTGCTCCGTAACGCCATCAAAATGCATAAAACATGAGGATATTCGAGTTTTATAAATATCTTCAGCCATGTTTATTTGCATAACTGAGCGTGTTTCCACTTCGAAGCATGTGCGTTGGTTGTGCGCGTGCGCAGTGCGAGTTTGGCTGAGTTGCGCATGCGTATTTGCTATCAAAACAATGGCGGTTCGAATATTTCGAAGCGCGAAAATATAAACTTTGGAGGGACTTTTCTCCCAATTGTGCACCTGTTTCGCTTGGGGAGCAACGGATTCTGATAAAGTAAGTTTTTATCTATTTATTCATGTGAAAATTGCGTAGTTCCACGAGGGGTGCAACGGAATCCGTTTTCTAAGCATCTTTTGGATGCTCATCCCACGGCCTACAAAACTACAATGCAGTTCCTAAACGGGAAAATAGCGAACGGGCATTAATAACCCATGTGAGGCTACCTCCCGCTTTAATTTCAGTCGACATTTACAAATTTACATAAATTTAAAATCGTTGAAAGCACGTTTACACGCATTCACGCCAAAGTGATATAGGACCTATGTTAAAATAATTATTAATAAGCCAGATAAAACGTCATTTGGTGACATCAATCATAAAAACCCGACCAGTCGTAACGCGTAAATGTGCTTTTTTTTTTGTAAACGTGCTTTTTTTTTGTGGTACTTACATAAACATCACATACAAGAAGTACTTAACTGATCAGATTCGGTCTATCAAAGCACAATGTAACGCTGCAGGTATATCCAAAAATCTGTTTCAGAAAATGCTCACATGTCAGTCCTAGGGGTGGAAAAATACAAAAAAAAATTTCTGGGGGAGAATGCCTCCAGACCCCCCTACTAGTACCGTAGTACGTACGATACCACACCAAACTTTTTGTCACCAACAACATCTGTCATCTCTCCACACTCAGTATACTATGGTCCTTTTTGTAGATGCCCCCCCCCCCCAGACAAGTTCGTAAAAAAAGCCCTGTGTTCAAATCATTTCACTGTATGAAGAAGACAGGCCATGGGTTAGGGTCATGGAAGGACAAATGTTGCATTGCAAAGTAGTAACACATAATATATATTTTTAATCACATATGGTTGAATCATATTCACCAGGGTAAAACATCATGAGCTAGATTAAACAGATTGTTTCATTGCTGTTAATTTTTTAATCCACACTGGGAGCGGGGGGGGGGGAGTCAGAAACGTTTCTACATTTATGAGGGGGGCGCACAAAAAGTTTGCTTTCAGTTCTGGAGGGGGGTCAAAAAAGTTTTCAATCCTTATTTTCCCCATTTACCCCCCCCCCCCCCTCCCCATAAATAATGACCACTACATACAAATATATAACTAAATAATGACTACAAACATACCTAGGTATGTTTTAAAAAATATATTTCAACCGTTTTATAATATAAATGGAGTTCAATAATCTTTTTAAACTTACACAACTACCTTTTATTTTTTTCTATACATTGCTTGAGCTTGATGCAACGCTTTTCAAACCATATGTTTTCTACGATTTATATTTAATAGGCGATTTACACTTTATCGACAACTAAATATTTTTGTTTCAAAAACATGAAAACACTTCGTTTAGCCGGATTGAAGAAAAACGAAACCCGACGAACTGAACTATCATTTCGTAATTTCATAAAATATTAGCAAAACAGATACGTTCAGAGCATGCATGCAAAAATGTTTTATGAGTAAATTATATTTTATACGTGAAACTACTTTGTTTTTACAAGGCTGCATGATTTATGGATTTTCACTGTTTTTGTAACGGCACATTTGCTTTGAGCCTTTAAAGAACTTAATATTTCAAATTATATCCCCAAACTACAAATACACAACGCTTGACGATGAAAACTTTATAGTTTTAGCTTTGTTTATAGTTTGTACTTTGTGTTTGCACTCCTACTCAAATTCAGCATGGCGGATTTATAAGGGCCTTTTTGTTTTCAGTTTGGACACCGGTCACGTGACCAAGCACGCATTCTAGGTCTAATATTTCTATGAATAAAACGTATAGTACAATTGCACTCTTGGGAAATGGAACGTATTCTATTGCACTCTTGGGAAATGGAATTTTCTATTCAATTTTACGTGACCATAATATAAAACAGCCAATTAAACGATCAGAATTCAATAAGGTATTATATAAAATCTAATGTATGAATAATATATTTTTAAAAAGCTTAGAACCTGATCTAGTGCCTGACATTCTCCCATTTTCTTCAAAATTCTTTTAAAAACATTTAGAGCTAATTTTTGGATTTTTCAATTATTTTAAGTTTTATTCAAGTATTTTTTGAGAAAATTTGCAAATAATTCATCAACGATGAAAAATATTGAAATTTGAAGACTGTCAGGCACTAGATAATGTTACAATCAGTAAGTATGCCACATATAAACCTTCTGCAATTAAGAATTACAAAATTACAGTGTCACAAAGATCACTGACACATGTCAAATTGCGAAGAAGAAAAATCCATTCATTTTTATTTTTATTACATCATAAAGGTTCAGAAGCTACCTGCTTCATAGGTTACACCTTTATTGTCTTCAACATTGTCTATATACTTCTTTCTGATGTGTCGCAATGACTTTCTTCTTATTTTCTTCTTTTTCTGAGCTCCTTTCCGCCGATAGCTTGATCCCTGCTTTGTCGCAGTTGTGGGCACCTTTACGAGCGAAGAATCCAGGCGTTTCAAAATTCAAATTCAAAAAATTTGAGGACTGATAAATAGGTGGCAAGAGCTACACTGTTTCCTGCTCTACATATGTAGACTTTGGACATCTGTCCCAGATGGCCCCGTTCAAGCATTCATTTGCATGGTCAAGCCATGTGTAGCCAAATCATCAAATATAGGCTCAACCAACTCAACAATGGGCTTTGGAATACCATTCTTATGTTGATATGTTTGGCTATCTCTTTGATAACCACACCAACTGTCCTTTCCTTTGGGGCAAAGATGATGCTGTGGGTTGCCATGCATCTATCGAAGCAACGTGAAAAAAAGATGCCTTTACAGCCTTGGCCATTTCTTCAACACCATCAAGGTTTTCTCTTATTGCCAGATGATAATAGTTTTGAAGTACATCTGTTTTGCCATCAGTAAGCCCACTTTTACATGCCCGATGCACTCTGGTTTGTTGGGTATGCAATCTTCTCCATAGGGCTTGCTTTCCAGAATAGCACTGTAAGTATACGAATCACCATCTCCAAGCATATCTTTGTATTTCAGCCCCCTTGAAGAACATGACCTTTCAAAAATCCTTAGTGCACCAGCCGTCTCCATGCTGCCGGAACTCCCTGTATGATTGATCTTACATTGGTGCGTTACTTTCCATTCTTGATACTTTGGGTCATTCTGCTTCATGTTCCACTTGAGACACTGTTGGCACTTGTTGGACAGGGCTTCAACATCTAGGCGCTTCTTTGTATCGAACGAAATTGCTGTAACAACACCATTGTGTGATGAATAACCTTGCTTCTGCCATGTGCCATCTGGATGGATTAATAATGAATTCAAGATGGCGTCGGGCAAATGTGCATTCCTCGATTTAGCCAAAGATTAGATACTATAAAAATGTGCCACTCTGCGAAAATTATGTCCGAGATTTTTTTATAGCCGCCATTTTGCCAGTAAGTGTCAAATCCAACGCCATCAGTCTCTAAATAGTAAAATCCAACGCCATCAGTCTCGCCGCCATTTTCATGGCAGTAAGTGAAAATTACGGACACGAAATTAAAACATTAGGGAAATACGTCGAGTGGAACATCTTTATAGTATCTAATCTTTGATTTAGCCGCATGTAGTGAATTGTGTGCGAGGTGCTCTTATTGATAATTTCTTCCAAATTTTGGTTTATTTTGTCATAAAAAGCGATAACATAATATGAGGAAGTTAAGATAACAGTTTTAGAAATGCAAGTAAACGAAAATATGCTGTATTTATCAGTCCCAGACTGGTATTTCATGTGAATTTTATAGCACGAACGTTTTGTGCATATATATGTGCACCGAGATGAGGAATTTATGGAATGCATTTGTCAGTTATAGCAGTGATCTTTGACTGCATTATCTGATTGCTAATGGAATTAAAGGCATAACAATTTTATTCTTTCTAGCACTGTATTTCATAAGCAAGCTTTTGCCAAATAAATTTCCCCATTCTCTGTTTTTTTTTATAGTACATCATGCAACATTCTGAATCCAAGGTTGGGTCTCTTCATGCAGAATTGATAGTATAGACTTTTAATGAAGACTTCCATGTTTGTAGTTCAAGCCAGCCAAGTTCCAAAGGATGTACGTGACAAATGAAACCACTGACCTCTTCAGGTTGAGAAGCCTCGACGTTGCAAAAACACTGGTTGTAGCAGAACAACAAGTTTTTGTGCTCAAAGTGTACCTGTGCGTAACAGGGATTATTACCATGGCATAACTTCTGAATAACTGTACCATTCTTGTAAATATTATATGATTTTCAATATACTCAGATCACTAAAAAATTATGTTTTTCATTCCATAAATTCCTGATGTCAACATATGTGCACAAAAAATAAATCCCAAACTAGCTTACTTATGGCCGAAAAAAATACAAGTTTATGTTCATCAAGGTGAATTTACACACATACAATATTTTTCCCATTTTTAATATTTTTAGTTTTGTCCCAGGCCTTAAAGGGTTAGGTGCTCAAAATAGAAAATGTTGAAAAATCAGCTGATAAGAAGGGGTGACCACCTTGATGGTGAGTACTGGGAACAATGAAAGGACACTTTGCGTAACATCTGGTGTGCCTCAAGGAAGTATCCTAGGACTTGTTCTTTTCGCGATCTTCATCAAGGACCTTCCTGGCATATTACCTGACGAGATTTTAGCAGCCTTGTACGAAGACGACACTAATTATAAGGTTTACAAATCCATAGAATCAGTGAGTGATTGCGAGAATCTACAACACGCCCTTTCGAATTTTGATTGCTAGAGCCGTCTAATAACCTTGAGTTTCAACCCAATTGAAGCGGTGTAAAGTATTGACTATCACACATAAAAAAACCGCCGTTGGTTCACACCTACCTCGTGAATTCCGGGAATTATCTCGTGCCAAGAAAGAGAAAGATCTGGGCGTTTATATAAATGGAACTCTTACTTGGAGTGATCATGTGCATGTACTACTACTGCGAAGGCGAACAAGATGCTCGGGCTATTTGAGACTAATTTTATGAAAAGATCCTTTTCATACCGAGGAGCTTGTGCCTGGAACAACTTACCCATTGACATCGTCAATTACCCATTGACAACTTACCCATTGACATCGATACTATAGTATCTAATCTTTGATACAACTATACAATGCCTCGCCCGCGCGCAGGCAGGCAACCATAACATTGGGCTGCCTATGGTAAAACCTCGTTCGTTGCAGTATATTTTGAACAAATAAACAATTTATTAGGAACATACGTTCAAGAAACGTCTCGTGCTGTACTAGCCTAATTCTGGCAAATGTTATTTACTTTTTTCACCTTCGTGTCGACGACTGTTGTTTGCTGATGGCCAAATCACGACAGCGGACATCAATTATTCAAAATATGTTCTTATAGCTTCACGTTTACGATACGAATGTAAGATTATTTATTTTTTGTATATGTAGGCTCTAGTTGAAAGTAACAGCGACGATGAAAAAAGTGCACACAACATTGAAATATCCAGTTCACTACTAGCTCAAATCCTGCGACATATCACTTGCCAGTAGCCCAGTCTAGTTTAACTTTGCCCAATCAAGAATCATCTCCTGAATCAGGCATACTGGCAACACTGGTTCATTTGATAATGTAAGTTTTTAAACTGGTATTTTAGATTTATATAGCCTCTGTCAAATCAGGATGAAAGTCATGCATGAATTGCTTATCAATACACAAGGACATTTCAAGTTCCAGATGAACAAAATATTATTAAAGCTTTGATGAGTGTTCTGCAACTATGTTTCAACTTTAAAATACTCTCATCCTCGTTTGACCCATAATTATTTGTTGATTTTACTCGATACTAAATAGTGAAACATCGAATCCAGAGAAAATCTTTATATGCAGAACCCACTGTAATTCCGAGCTGTAATCACATAATTATATAAAAGTCGTTTCAGGAGCAGCAAAAGCCAAACTAAACACCAATCTAGGATTAATAGGTTTAGCTTTTAGGCCGAGAATAATACACGATTGACAATTTTGTGGCTGATTGATTATAATTAATTAATAGTATACTGTATATTGATGTTGTTGTATACAGGACATCTGACTTACATGTCAAATTAATAGTCGAATCTATGATTATATTGAGCATGGCAGATTTGACATTTGAAACATTGTTGATGTTAATAACCCATTGAGTCGCATTGCGCCCTGATGCGCACTAAGTATTTATTATTTTACTCTGGCTATCTAACGCTAGCAATTTTACTCATCAAGGGGAGAGCACTGGCGGTTAATGTGTTAACTAGCCTATCTGCCCATGTGTACATAGTTAACCCATTGAGTCGCATTGTGCCCTAATGCGGCCTAATTTATTATTTTACTCTGCCTATCGCAGGACAATATTAAGGGCAGAGCGCTGGCGCTTAATGTGTTAACTAGCCTATCTGCCCATGTGTGTTGTTAACACATTGAGTTGCATTGTGCCCTAATTTATTATTTTACTCTGTCTAACACCAGATGATTTTACTCGTCAAGGTAAGGGCGCTGGTGCTTAATGGGGTTAACTGGCCTATTTGCCCGTGTTTATAGTTAACCCATTGAGTCGCATTGCGACCTATTTTATTTTTTTTACTCTGTCTTGAGAGGAGAACGCTGGTGCTTAATGGGGTTAATATTGAAAATATAGATCAACATTTGTCAAAACGCATGACTTGTGCAATCATTTCTGTAATAATTAAGATATTAATTAAAATACCAAATATAATGCCTTATGGCTTATTTCAAATAGGGAGATGCTATGTATGTCCATTGAAACTTAGTGGATTTGTTGTAGTACATCAAATAAATGCTAGCCATAAACATATTCAAGTCAATCGAAGAGAATGTAGAATTGCACTTTACATAAAATTCCCTAGTTATTGGACGTTAATGAAAAAAAAAAGCATTTGAAATGAAATATATTGTTTTAATTTTATTTCTATGGTTTGTACTATGATATACATGGGCTACACACTCTTTGGGAACCCGCAGGGCTGTTGGCAGAGCATTTCCATGATCTGGAACTTCAGTCCTAAACACGATGTGTGGGTGCGAAGATGTTGTGTAGGAACAGAACTGTACAGATTAGAAATATGATTACTGATATTTTCCAAAGAAAAACTATTAATATATAGAAGAGGAAAGAAAGAGGCAATTTGAAATTTAAAAATGGTAGGCTTATTAGGATGAGATACAGAGAAAAACAGTAATGCAGAACTACATTCTCTTAAATTGTCAAAATTAAACGCTACCAATCCTGGTCTCGTTTCAAACTTGAATAACAAAAGTCTAAAAATATAAAAACTATGAGAACAGATCAGCTAAGTCCAGTTATAAAATTAAATGATGAAGGAAAGCTATCATTTTAGGGAAGTGTTGTTTTGGGGTGTGTAAACTCATGAGGTTACATGTTTCTGGTGAATCTGTGCTTGCTGCAGCAAAAATTTATTAATCGTTTGTGATATAATTCACAAGATGTCTATTTTAACCTGTGGGTTGTGGAATTTGTTTTGTCTGACCAAGATATAATGAATACCACTAGTGACATGAGCATGTCCAATTAATATTTAACTAGAAATAAATGCATGCAGCAACCCTTTGCCTATATTTTCCAAACATTGATTTAACATGAACTATTAGCAATTGGCCAGCACTGAACGCAGTCTCGCGTTGTGTCAAGTGTTGTCAAGGCAACATAATGTCACATATTTTAAATTTTTTTGAGTAATTTTGCAAGTGTTCATACCACAGAATCTACCATACATAATTTTAAACAAATAGATAGGTGAAGTAATTCAAACAAAATGATTTTGAACTTTATTACTCTACTCTGTCGAACGCCTATTCTACTCGTAAAGGGGAGAGCCCTGGTGCTTAATGGGTTAAATAAGATCGTATAGTTATATGTATATCATGTATTATGTTTTTATGCAGTCTCCCTGAATCACTTGTACCAGGCTATGGAAATTCATGTTTCCAATTTTGTATTTATTTTTCTTATGATGCAGTATACTGTAAATTTGAATAATATTTGTGTGCTTATAGTGAGCTTATTTTTAGGAGAGTTTGTTGCGAGGCAGCATATATTTTGATTTTTCAAAATATTACTGTATATTGGTATGTTATACTTAATATTAGAATGTTAGGGTTTGGAATCCTAGTGAGAATATATACATTTTAAGACCTAACCAGGAACGACTGCGAAAAATGCAGCACAAGGTCCTCTGGTAGGAATCAAACCTACGGCCCTGCGATTCCGGTGCAGCGCTCTAACCAACTGAGCTACAGAAGCCAGCCGTTAAGCTGTAACCGTAAGTTCATGTATATATAGGTAATTGGGTGTGCGGGTTGTGATAAGGTGGACTTCATGACTTAGATTCTGCGCTTCACTTGGTGGAATTAATATTAGAATGAATCCAAGTGAGAATATATACATTTTAAGACCTAACAAGGAACAACTGCAAAAAATGCAGCACAAGGTCCTCTGGTAGGAATCGAACCTACGGCCCTACGATTCCGGTGCAGCGCTCTGAGCTACAGAGGCCAGCTGTTAAGCTGTAATCGTAAGTTCATGTATATATAAGTAATCGGGTGTGCGAGTTGTGATAAGGTGGACTTCATCATGATTCTAATATTAATTCCACCAAGTGAAGTGCAGGGGTTTCAGAATGATTTGAAGTAAGCGGTTGTACCAAGAAAGTAGCCGGCTGTGACTGATAGTTAAAAAATCGCGCGGGGAGGGGAGTGTGCCCTCGCATGGAAACTTAAAAAATTTTCGCCGCAAATTAACAATCAAATAATATAGAATACGTAAAAAGACAAAGTACAACTGTTAACATGTTAGATTTAGATGTCATTTGCATTTTTACTTGTAAGTGACAATATACAATTACTTTATGGTTTCCGTGTTTGGATGGCCTGATCCAAACACGCGGGAATGTTGCGAGAGTTAAGAAAAGCGAGCGAAATCACGAGCCGAAGGCGAGTGATTTTGCCCGCTTTTCTTAACTCGAGCAACATTCCCAAGTGTTTGGATCAGTCCATCCAAACACGGAAACCATAAAGTAATTGTTTTATAAAATAACAACAACACGGTAGTCTTCCGTGTTTGGATGGCCTGATCCAAACACGGCTTTCGACCAATCAGAATACGCGTTATATACATGTTATTTTATAATGTACTTTAATGTGCTACTAGTAGTTTAATTTTTACAGCTGCATGAACAGAATGACAATGTACACTACAGTAATAGAATAGTATTAATTTATGAGTCCGAAATCATTAATCAAATGATGTTATACTTATGTACGTAACGAACTTCATTTCATCCCTTCTTCTTTCTTTTGCTATGTTTGGTACTATACAATTACTTTATGGTTTCCGTGTTTGGATGGCCTAATCCAAACACGCGGGCTTTTCTTAACTCGAGCAACATTCCCAACTCCCAAGTGTTTGGATCATTCCATCCAAACACGGAAACCATAAAGTAATTGTTTTATAAAATAATAACAACACGATAGTCTTCCGTGTTTGGATGGCCTGATCCAAACACGGGTTTCGACCAATCAGAATACGCGTTATGTACATGTTATTTTATAATATGTATTATAATTTATCTTATTGATCTTCCAAAATAAGTGATGTTTTGCTTGAATTCAGGGCTTGAATTTTATCGCGGCAATTGCCGTAGAGGGAGAACAAAATACCGTGGATCATTGCGGCAACGACGGCAATTTTTTGCCGTATAGTATAATTTTTAAACTGTTCACTGTGTATTACTATTTTGATACTTGAATTCAGATGTTGATCAAATCATCCGTAAAGTACTATAATTTTAGTCTCAGTTTTCTTCGAAAAAAAACACACTAAAGAAATACGTAAACATGTTTCTAGCTTGTCAGCAATCCAAAGTAACAATAAAATTGAATTTTTATTACAGTAATTTGAAAAAATGCCGTGAAAACTGACAAAATTGCCGTAGACAGCTGTTACGTTCTACGGCAATTTTTAACGCCATTGCCGTCGATTGATTTCAGGGAAATTCGAGGCCGGCCAACTTGAATTCCAATTGGAACATAACAAACATCGTGTTGGTTCGCTTGTACCTTTGTACAGTATATAAAATTTTTCATGTGACCAGAAGAAAAGTAGCCGGCGGTAAAAGTTCAAGTAGCGGACGGAACTCCGCCGGCCGCCGGCTTATTTTGAAACCCCTGGAAGTGCAGAATCTAAGTCATGTTATACTTAATGCTTTTGGAAGAGTTATAGGGGTCGGGTGTGATATACTTTTTCAGGTATTTTGTGTCTGATGTATGTAAGAGCTTTATTATTGGGTTTCTTGGTGAGACCTTATATCTTATGTGTCCTATAACTCCCTGTAATTGCGGATTATTGCATACATTCTAATTGTTTTATCACAACCCATATTGTGGTCGTTGGCATCGAACTTACTAGAATACGACTAGAAACTGTCAATCATACGTTATCGAGGGAAAGGATGAAAGTTCCATAACAAGCAACAGTTGTTTTGATGCAATTATCGCCTTATTGGCAAGTTTTTACATCTTCAATATTGAGTACTGCCACACGAAGAGCATCTTGTCTGCTTTGCAGACTATAGTAGTGCATGGGCAAGACAGAAAATGGCATATACAGCTGCCAGTGAGGGTCACAGCCCTCTTCAATGACTTGTCATGACTCATGAGTATTAGTACTACAGTAATTTTACACTTTTTGAGAGTTATGTTGACATATGCTAACCCAAGTTAATGTTATTGATGGAATGTGTGTATTGTCTCACATCTCACCGAACTGTGGTAATGTATTAGAAATTATTCGTATTGCGTTCATGTTAACAACCGCGCCTGCTATTGCTATCACAAGTTGATTGCTCTTTAAAATTAGAATTGTAAACTTTCGGAGCCATATGGCATATATGTACGAATCTTTTGATGGTTCCCACATTTCGGTGAGATCCATAATACTGACTACTGTGCATGTATATTGTAATTTTAGTTATAGTATTGTGTTTATAATACAGAAATTGGAACATTTATCTCAACTTATATTGCAATAATTCATTCCAATCTTGGTCTGTTGGAGAAATTGTAATAATTTAATCAAGACCAAATGAACCCCAATATTTTTGCCTGATTCATTATATACATGTAGAATACGTCTACATGCAAGAGTGCAACCAAATCCACATGACTTAAATGCTATATAAAACGGCACCACCAAAAAGCTATATCAGCTCGATCGGTTCTAAAGCACCTCTTCATTGGGGCTGAAACTGCTCTCCTCTGAAAGGGCCAGAACAGCTCCGGTTAACAAAGTAGGGGTTAAATTGGCTTTTCTTTTGGATCTATAATGGCTCTGAAATTGGACCAAATTGACCCTTTGGGTGCTACAAACTACACCATGAAAAAAGCTATATTAGCTCCTTCGGCTCTAAAGCAGCTCTTCTTTGGGGCTGAAACTGTGCTCTTCTGAGAGAACCAAAATAGTTCTGGTTAAAAAAGTAGGGGTTAAATTGGCCTTTCTTGTGGTCTATAATGGCTCAGAAATAGAACCATATTGGCCCTTTGGGTGCTAAAAAACTACACCATTAGAAAAGCTATATCGGCTCCGTCGGTTCTAAAGCAGCTCTTCATTGGGGCTGAAACTACTCTGTAACTCAGTAGCCAAAACAGCTCCGGTTAGCGAGCCAAATCAACGCTTTTTGGGGTTCATTATGACCACAAATTGAAGCCAAATTAACTCCTCGAAATGCCAAAATAGCCCCCTAATTTTCTGAATTGGCCCCTATTGAAAGTTGAAATAGCCCCTGCTTTTGCCAAAACAGCTCCTACTAAAAGCTGAAGCAGCCCTTACACTGGAAGGGCCAAATCACCCCTAGGGGCCGCATTGTTATAGGTGCCAATTTGAGCCCCAAAAAAGATCTATTTTGCGGTCACCGTTTTGGCCCCATTTTTGGGGTCGTTTCAGCCCTTTTTAATTTACAGTGTAGAGGGGTAATACGGGAGTTAAAAATTTGAGCTCTTTTAACTCCATAACTGGAGTTAAAATAATACCCTTTGAGGGGTTACAGGCATTCGCAAGCTAATCAGTATTCAAACGTAACACCACGTAAGGGGGTTAGTGAATCTAACTCCATTTGAGGGGTTACTGGCGTCAAGAGCAAGTCTCACATGATTACATATGGCGTTCAAGTTGATATTTTATAAACAGATCTGTGAATTTTCCTGTTATATATGAGGAATGAAAGCTTTAAGAATCAAATTATGGATGAAGAACATTTCGAAGGTTAGTTTATCACTTTATCTACCGGTTGTTTGTAGCCCATTTAGCTTAAACGGCGGATATAAGTCAAATTTTCATTCGTTTTGTGAATAACTGAATACAAGTTTTAAACCTTCAAAATGTTGTTGTACATAAGTGTTCTTTTCAGATTGAAAAAATATTTTGATTGTTCCAATGAATACACAGACTTGCTTAATTGATATTCTGGACTTATCCACCGTTTTATAGACTAAACGCGCTGCGAACAACCGGCCCCTGGGGTCGGCTGTTTAATAGGTACATCAAAGGCATTTAGCTAAGCTTAAACGGTGGACAGGCAAAAAAATTATAATACATTCTCATTCATCTTGTAAATAATTAAACTCCATCGACTAAATGTGCAGTTCTATGCATAGTTGTTATGTTTAAACAGAGAATATTAGTTTGATTGTAGTCATAAATTTGTTTGATATTTTTTTTTACTTATCCACTGTTCAGGCTATAAACGCCTTTGATACAACCGGCCCCTGAAACAGTAGTTTACAACTTAATTTTTGCGTTGCATGTTCAGTTCCAATTGGACCAATTGGTTCATCACATGGCATTTAGAAGTAATATATTAATCATATTACTATAAGAAAAATCATCAAATGTCTTTACAACTTTGATATTAATAGAGTATGACTTAACCCATTAAGCGCCAGCACTCTCCCCTTGATAAGTAAAATTGTGCAACAGGGTGCAATGCGACTCAATGGGTTAACTAGACACATAGGCAGATAGGCTTGTTAAAACCCATTAAGCGCCAGCACTCTCCCCATGATGAGTATAATCGTCTGGCGTTAGATAGAGTAAAATACTAAAGTAGGTACATCAGGGTGCAATGTGACTCAATGGGTTAATGAACAATTTAGTAAGTGAATAGGTAATTCCAGCTTTTAGTTTATGCATGCAGGGGATGATGGGAAGTAAAGTATAATATTGCTCTTTATGCTGAAAAATTTCATTAAAAACTGCTGAAACAACTATTTGAGATACACAATTAGATATTTCACTATTTACAAATATAAGCTGTCACTCTGTGTTTCACTGCCGCCAGTTTTTTTTATTTTTTCAGCATAATCAGTGATACCTTACTCCCGTCAACCTCTGCACGCATAAACTAAAAGCTGGAATTGCCTATTCCAACAAGTCTGATAGAGCATCAGATGGTGCTGGTATACTGAGTACTGACAGTTATCAAAATGAGAAAATAATTTATATGCTTTCCAAGATGTATTACCGGTCATTATTTATGGCAAACTGAAAAATAATACTTGCTTTAGGTGTGGTGGCCAAAAAATCTTGCATGCAGAGGTGGGGTAAAAAAATAACCTTACTTTAATCACACACAATACAATATAATATATACTACCATCAGAGTTTAATATGTGATTATTCTAATTTTTTAATAAAATATTGCTTTCCAAAATGTTGACAGAAACACCTCCCTCAACCCACCCGTAAAGGGTCATTTTTATATTCATTTACACCCAAAATCTCCAAAAACTCCAATTACCAGACAAAATATTATACTGCCTATATATACAGTAGGGGCTGTTTATATGGTGCAACTGCAAGCCAACTCCAGCTAGGGTACTCAAGTTGGCCAGTTTTGGCAAAATCCTGCCTTTGTAATTGTTATTTCTTACTAAAGTTCACCTTGTGCATATATGGGCAAAGAGCGGGCCCATCTATAGCTAAGCGAGATCCCGCCTCTTTAGCCCGAGATCTTGCCTCAAGAAAAGTGACCTTAAGTCTGTACTAGATAGCCCCTAACCCCGGGCAACCAGCCTCGCCTCCATATTAACATGCCCTTATTACATATCTCAAAAAGTATATGTAGAGTTAAATTTTCAGGTTTTAATTTTTGGGCATCTACACTTGATACTGTACAATAATATTTATATCCAGTATGTGCTTGTAAACCATATGTGGACAATTCAGGTAGCAAATCATGAAATATGCCCCTTGTGAATTTGGAGAATCATTCCAATGGTTAGTTCATAATATGTTCAGCTCAAACATTGTTCTGAGTCTTTGGCAACTAGTTGTTTTTCTTTACTAGCAGATCATATAAATGGATAAAATAATCATGGATAAAATAAGAGAAATCCATTTACCCGTTTTACAGATTAATTTAATTGTTTATATAATCATACTTGGAAATCAGATGAATATCTTTATCTTCACGTTGTATAACAGCAATTTTTTCTCATTAATTTACAGTAACATCATTTTCTAAATTCAGATATTTTCACATGGGACATATACTTTAGTATCGTTGTATTGTTTACAAATTAAAATATTAAATTGTTCATGAACTTCAAGAATTCCTTGGAAATTCTTAAGGATTTCCTTTGAAATTCCGTGATAATACATGTATTATAGTTATCTAAATATAGTAAGGAAATGTTCAAGGAATTTCAGAGGAAATTTTAGAATTTTGATAGTTGCAATCATGGGTGAGCACACGTTTTGTGAAACTGTTTCAACATAAAATTACATTTTAATTAATAAAGAAATGCAAGAATGTGAAAGAAACCAAATTATATACAGTGAAACTTTAAGGTGGGAAAGAGATACGGTGGTGAAATACGGTTAGTGTTCTAAAATACTGAAATATATGCTGTACAGGTTTCATATCAGTGCATGGTTAATATATGTGAGTAGCTTTGTTTATGGGACTAGCATTACACTATCTTGTGAAAACTGAAAAGGGAATACAGCGTTGAATACAAACTATAAAAACCCATTCATATTTCAATTTTACAAGTAGACAAATTTTAAGCCTTTAGATAACTATAATTCTTTATATAGTACCTTACTATTGCAGGGGTAACCTATATAATAAGGCATGACACGCCTGTCAAAAATGCATGCAAAAGCGCCAATATGCGATATGCAAAGTCCAGCGGTTATTCCAGTACAAGTATCCAAAACCTGTCGCTTACATAAAGTACCGCGCCACATTCATTCAAAATGGCGGAAAAACATCAGTGAAAATAATTCATACAGGACAAAATAATAGACGGATTTTTGAAGAAAACCAGGCAAAGTTGTGGCGAAAGTGTGGACAAAGACGCATTTGAAGATTTGTGAGCTGCTTGGATTAAGGCATAACAGCTAGACCCCATTTTGTTGTATTGGAGTGAGTGGGATCAGTCAGCACAGGCCGCACAGCTGAGAGCTCTGCGATTGTGGCAAAATCTAATGTCATACTATACTATATGTAAGCGGGAAATTTTGTTTGCAAATTTTTACCAGCCAGTTAGTCAGGTTAACAAATTTTGAAAGCAATTTCTTGCTGAAATATGGTTTTTGGTTATGAAAATTTTTAAAATGTCATTTACATATTTATGGAGGCAAATTAAAATTAATTTGTAAACAAAATTTACCTATATATGCAACCCACTAAATTATGACAATAACCGACATTTCATGGCCTGTTTATTCATACTTAATTAGTTGTCTAGGCACAACTAGCTGATTGATGCACCCAACTGTTTTAAATGTGGCCAGTAAGTTTATAGCATGCAATGTAATTTCCTCAAATAGTTACTGTCATGCAGCAAGCCATTTTCATGCAATAAGGCAAAAGGCTTATTGTGTGAAATAGAGATCATACAAAATACAATGCATAGTAAGTCATTCTGAATAGACAACAAAATTTGTTTTTAAAGTGATTCTACTTAGCAACAGTTTTGTCTATACATTAGGTGTTTAACATATTGGTAACAAGACTTGCTGTTTGATTGAGTGGCAAAGTTTGTAACAAGTCTAGTCGAGCAGCAAAGTTGCAAGCAAAACT